GAAAGTGGATATGGCTTGGACTTGACGTATACTGAAAAGACCGTTTAGGGAGGTCACGCCTCAGGCCAGACTGTCGATGGGAATTTAGATTGGAAACGATGAGTTGGGCGTCTGAGGGTGAAATGGAAGAGATGGGGTGATGAAGAAATGAAAGCTTGTGGGCAGTGGTGGAGCCAGGTTGAAAAGAATGTGAAGAAGAGAGTGAAATGGCAACGTACTACTGAAGCCCTACATTTCATTAGGAACTCAAGGGACAAATAATAATGGCAATAAATCTCAGAGAACAACTCATTCCGGAAATGATGTCTGCTAGGAAATAAATGATCACCATTTGTAGCCATTCTATCCTTGTTTCTATTACCTCAGCAAAGTGCGTTAGCAGCTTAGTTCTGGATTATTAGGACTGGTAGGTTGTACGTTACCGTTGCATGTGCTTCATCGTGTAGACAATGTGGTTGTCGCTTTATAATTCCCTATGGGTTTTAAATGAATGACCTCCGGTTATTCACAATCGAAAGCCTTTTATCCCTTCGAAAGGATTCGACTTTCATGTGGACGAATACAAATTGTACTAACTTGTTAATAAGACTATTTATACGGATAATAAAATTTAAGTTGCATGTTTCAAATCAAATACTTATGAATATCCTGTGTTCGTTCACAACAATAATAGTTATTCGAGTCAATTAGTTTGGCTCGAAAACTATCATGGTCACCTGTTTTAACAGAATTGACTTTGTGGTGAACTCTGATTTTATTCTTTGACCTTACAACTAATGGGTGAACAATATCACATACACTAGTGCTTATTGAAGTCTGATAATAGAAGAAAGTCCATCATTTTAACACCTGTACCTTGTATTTCCTTTTAAAGTAACGAAATAAACAACCGAAAAGTATTTGTAATCCACTCATCCAGATTAGCAGATTTTGCTAATCATATCAGAATGAACTAAACATTGAATCCACATTCTGATCATTCAACACTGAGTACGTCAATAAATCCAGCTCATGGAGCCAAATTCTTAAGATCAACGTATTATATCTGACTGAGATTAAAGTAGATGGTTAGTTCGCAAATAACTGATACACTACACAATTCACCATTGTTTTCAACGGAAACTCTGTTGACGATACAGGTGGAAGCTAAAAAACTACTCGGCTGTGGAGAAGGTCAACGTTCACTGTGCGATTCACAAATAATTTCCTAATTAGTGAGAAAGTATCAATTGGATTTTGTACACAATGACTTTGCCTACAGTCAAATTTCAATAAAATTTGTATGTAGTTTCAAAACTTGTGACATATTAACGATTACAGTCAGCCTTCCTTTCTGTCAAAGTGAGAATTATGTACTAACAGTGCAATCAACCTAAGTTACTGACAGCAGAAAAGGTTTCCTTTGACTTGTACATTGATTTTCTGACCAGCCGACTGTCATATTTCGAATCTTCGACATCAATTAAAAATATGACTGAATTTCTTTGGAAATAATTGATGCGAACTGCTTAACTTGCTGCGTCTGCGATATTCTGATGATGAGATTCTCACAAAGACAAGAATGAGTCCTTCTGGCAAGTTCAAAGCTGAACGAGTGAATGGATAGGTATCCAGTATTGACATCTAATTAAAGCCAGATTAGTTATTTCTATGCTAAATCAGAATTGTGAGTGATCACACTCTGAGATCAATAATCACTGGATATAAGCTCTAGAAGGGTTAGCAAACTGTAAGCTAGTACTTTTCAAACTAGTATGAAACAGCTGTCCAATACTTTATATTTTACCAAAAAGTTTTGGTAGACTCCTCTTGAGTCTAAGAAGAAAGTATATTGTTTCTCAAACTTTTAAAACATCGTTGAAGAGTAAATCCATTGAGTGATAAATGTCACATATCCTTTTCAGAGTACTGTGCTACTGTGACCAATAATTGTAAGTAGGGGATCACACAGGAATTTTAAACCACCTTCACACATTGTTTTTGAGGTGTTCTCTTATTTTAAAAACATACTTCGTCAAAAAGAAGGACAGTCAACAACAAAAATAGAAATACAAGGACTGAAAAAGATAGAAGAGTGTTTACGATGATTACGCAGACTAGAGAAAATGTTTGGTACTTATGTCCTGATTTAGCTTCATTTCACTGTCGTATGATGTAAGATAAAAATCTTGAATACCATATTTACGATTGAACCAAAGATTCGCACTTGTCCAATATGAATACAAAAATGTTATTGTCTATTCTAAGAGGTGTAATGGATGAACCAGTAGTCAGTGTACCAGACAGATGGATAAGCGTGCAATCTGGCTCACAGTTGTGTCAGTTCAAACTGTAACACTTCACAGCGAACTTCAAGAAGATACGCATGAAAAAAATTGACAACGAAGTTGAAAAAGTGAGCGAAAAAAGAACATATAAATGAGGTTTGATTAAAATATTTCAAGTTTTGAAAGTTACTAAGGGTGTATACATTTGCACACTGTTGATCAGTTTTCAGCCAAATAAGAAAAGAATAGGCAGTAATTAATTCTTACGGTCCTGAGGATGTCAACCATACAGATGACTTCCCCTAACATCAGTCAAGTTTACAGAAAATTCATAGACTACTGCCAAGTCTTGATTTAGCCACTCGTAGTCTCTTTCCTTCTTACATTGACCGATGCTGCACGTGAAGACACTGAAATTGATAAAAGTCTGAAATTTCATCAACTAACTTACCTTCTCAGCTGAGTACTCTGTACCTAACCCCAATATTTCCCACTTGGTGATTCAACCACACATTTGCAGTGCTACGAAGGTTTTTTTTTAAATCAAAAACTGTAACCTGATATCTTCTACTTTCAGGGGTTATATTTAATTGCCTTAAAAGAGAACAGAGTAGTGTTGTATAGTATACTCATCCCTTAATAAGTGGCTAGATATCTCGCCGAAGATGACACAAGTTGGCAAGTGCTGAACAAGCCCTTGATATCTTAGCTGAAATTTTGTCAGCAACCAAGTGAATAAAGTGAACGTAGCTCACCAATAAGTGAAGTGACTAACTCATCCCATCACTTCTCTGCCTTTCCTTAAGCTAGGAGTAGATGGATACCAGTTTTGAAGCATAATCTTACACTTGGATGCTACGGCGTACGTGCTAAACATATTTGGTGTTTTGTTCAAGACATATAGAACTGGTGCTCATTGGTGACCAGCTTCGAGAGGTATTCCCGAAGTTCCAGTGACAAGTTGTGACCGGTGGGGCAAAGCCTGATGGTCATGAGGACAGTTACTCAGCGATGACAATGGGTGGTGGTTGCAATATATGAAGCACTGGATTCTGACCCAGTGGCTTAATGGTAACGCGCTGGACACGAGACCTGGAGGTGGTGGGTTCGATCCCTGGCGAAGTCGTGGGTGCGTGCTGCTGAGGAGTCGCATACTAGGACAAAACAGCTGTCTAGTGCTCTCAGGTTTCCTTTGTTCCCCCAAATGATGTCAGTCTACGATGAATTACAACTTGAAACATAAAGGAGACCTTATTTTATCTACATTACCTCCCAGCAGGAATAGAAACCCTTGAATATGTGATTTGAGGGTTAAAATTCAATTTCAAAAACTGATAATTGTGAATAACTAGATTTATGGTCATTAAGGGCTGTTCATTTCATGTGATGAAAACCGAACTCACTCTTCACCCACCACTGTGTCTTTGTCATACGGGCTAATGATGAAGAATACAACAAAGTGGGTGAAGTTTCAAACACATGCGGACAGTGATACGCATACACACGTCTGAATTGTCTATGATAACAAATATAATCGGATTTTTGCTTAATGACTGTGTGAAAATGTCAAAAACGTGAAATCAAATAATGATGATAAAATATTAATTTTTCAACTGGAAACAAAAGTGTATATCAGCTCCTTATGAATATAAAGGTACTACCATTGAACAAATTGAGTAGTTAGAAGACATACAGGCTGACCTGTACATTTCTCCAGCCAGATCAGAGGTATATAAGCACTAGACGACCGTTTTACTTGTTTGGGGATAGCCTCATCAGCTGTGCATCAGCTCACACACCTGAATTGTCCAGATCACTTGAATCTGTACAGATAGCTGACTTGCATAGGCCGGTGTACTTAAAATAAGATCGTCAATTTATAAACGGCACAGATCACCTTGACACTTCTCACAGCTGAGTAGCTTTTCAAGTGCCCAGCTGTGTTATCAACAGGAGTTCCATCAGCCAAGACCATAAGGTTTGATCTCGGGCACGAATGTGTTATGGACGGACGAAACATACTGTCTAACAACATAAGCACCACTCGTTTGCACACTTCCGAAGAGTCTCATGCTATAACAAAGCACCTGTCCTGTTCTCCCAAGCTTTTATCTATAATGCCCCACATTCTGCCCCTTGTCTGATCTCTCCTTATTGCTGACTGACGGTAAGGTTAATTGTATTCATACTGGTTCATTGCACTATTTTGTGATAATTCGAATTTTCAAACTTTACATCAGAACATCAAGGAAAGTGATTAAAAAGAAACAAAGAAATGAAAATGGTTTGATCAAATCAGAAGGTTGTGGTGGTAGATGTAAGTGACAAGAAACTATATGTGGTTTACTGATTTAAGTATAAAACTGCTATATAAAGAATAAGACTGTACAAGATCTTCTACATGGTTGCCTCGATATTGTATGTAATTTCGGTTTGTTAGTAATGATATATATTGTCTATCTGTAGAGTCTACTATCCACTTTTCGTCGTATTTCAGACTTGTTAGCTGGGCCAATCTGTCCCCACTGAAACTCAAATACACAACCGACTGCTTCAAACATTGTAGAGTTGTGCTTTATTACAGTCAATACTTCTGTATTCCTAATACTAGCAACTTTCCAAAGTATCCACTCTTCAGTCTGTTTTTCAACAAGCCTTAAAAATGTATCTAACAAATAGACGAATTTCATCACAACAACATGATAATTTTACAAAAAATGCACATTTACTCACTGGCTGGAAAGGTAATATGTATATATATATATATAGATATGTATTCTTAGAAACCTTATCAGAAAAATAGGGTTTATATATCTGCACACTTATCTAATAATATTGAATTCTAATGGTCACAATTTTATCCAAAATTGTGTCTCTATTATCATTCAGTGAGATGCGTAAATCATTTGCGCAGTTAACGGACCATCGTCAATCACTATACACATATCAAAGGTAGCAAACTTCGCACACATGCATGCACACGAACAAGTGCACAGGCGTCAATAAAATAATGACCTATGATATGAGATTGAAAAATTTACATAGAAATATTGAGTGTATTAAAACAGCTATTAATGTGTAGTGATTGGTAATTAGGAGGAGTTCTCGTATTCACGAAAAACAACGTGATTGCTACACTTCTAAATCAGTTTTCAATCGTGTGTAAACGGACATTATGATAGGTGTCAGTTTATAAAAATGAAATAGGTCATACTCATATGACCGGTTCATATGAGCCTTATCCACAGGTACGATTGAAACTAGCACGAAAATACAGTGATATGTCGTAAATGAAGTATCTTTGAAGCTATTTCAGTTATTAGATATGCGAAGGCAGGTTAATGACTCTCACGGTTCTGAACTGAATGGAGTCAATCCTGAAGAAATGCCTAATTAATATAGTCAGAACAAGAAAAATGCAATTTATACGTATGATTTTTAACTTTTGGTTAATTGTGATACATTTTTCTGCTGGTTGTTATACTGACCAAATAAAAGGAAAAGAAAAATCTATGAAAAGTTGGATTAATTCCATTATTTCATTGATTGTTAGAGAGATTTTACTTGAAACTTATTTCAAGGTACCACTGAACAGGTGGGTTGGAGAGCTGTTTACTGATTTCTCACTAATTTCTGTACGACGCATGGTTACAAAATAACAGAATTTTTAGTTAAACCAGTTAGTGCGCATTACTTCACTTTTGATATATGAAACTAGTTATTTCATTTTTCAGTTTGATATCCATCCTTGACTGACATCAGTTGGAGAACCAATGGAGACCTAGGATCACTGAACAGCTGCTTCGTCCTAGTATGGGACTCCTTAGTAGTGCGCATCCCCAAGGATTGAGCCCAGGACCTTCAGGTTCCGTGGCAAGCGCGTTACCACTTAGCCAATGGGTCAGAATCCAGCGGTCCACATTACTTTTGACAGTTAATGATATAGAGCGATCTTTATCCAATGCAACCGTTAAGTATTTTTTTTAGTGGTTTTCCAAGTGACATCAGTTCATGAGGAATATTCACCTGAAATAATTCAATAAATTCCCACAAAGCTCCAAATTGTATTTCATTTTGCTATGGCAGTTGATTTATATATTTACCTAAAACAGCAACTGTACATTTATTGAACCTAGTCAGACTTAGTATTCTGCATAGAAGTTGAGGTGGTGTTAATCTGGCCGAATGATTTCACAGGTGATTAGTAATACAAGAAGTAACAAGTGTATGAGAAATTTTCAAAGAGCTACAATAAACACTGAAGCAGGATAATAATGATCCATCTTATTCAGCGGTTCTCTTCAGCCGCTTACAACCTATAATATTTACAGTAATAAATTACAACAAAATATAAACATACTTCATTTCAGTGAATTTAGCCTAAACAGGATAACGACATAGCGAATTAAAAAAACTGTCCGAATTGAAATTAGGTCAAAATAACATAATGAGTTCATAAATATTTGTCGTATTACAACAAAAATTCTCGCGAAAATTAGATAGGGGGGGAAAAAGGAAAACTTCTAGGTTTCAAACGTGAAATCGAGCACACCAGTGAGTAGTTAACTTAGTAAAATAATGAGTAGAAATCAGAAGATTACGTCTAGGGTTCATTGTAAACTGGAAATCCGATAACAGGATAATGACGCGATCAAATAAATGAAAGGTTGAGAAATTAGGTTACTACTATACTTAAAGCTTGATCAGAGATTTCTTTTGTTTTTGTGAAATAAACCTATCAGGATAAGAACATATATTTCAGCGAAGGGTCTTTTCTTTGCGGTTTAGCTTTCAAAGATGTACAATTCGGATGTAGAGTTGACAAGAACAGCTGATGGAACGTTAAACAAACCAATTCACAGAAAACTAAAGTGGAATGGTTACCTGACCAATTTTAATAGCTGGAACCGTGTGAGTCATAGGGGAAATCTGATCATATCTCTTGCCGCTTACATTAGATAAATCTGGAGTCACGATGTGTTAGAAGAGGAAATTTCTGTTCTAAGGAACATTCTGATTGAAAGCGGGCTCTCGCCGCCCTTCATAGACAGAAACATGAAGCCTAAATCTCATAAAGAGAACCTAACCACCATGCCAAAAAGACACTCTATATAAATCTAAACTTCAAAGGTGATTCTGCTGCTGACACTTTAAAAAGGAAGATGTCAAATGCACTAAGGAGAGGATTCTTTGCATCAACGTTGAGACTACCATTCTGTTGTCGCACAACGATTTCTGACAAGTCAAAGGAGAAGCTTTCTGATCTGACCACTTATGTGTGCTATATTAATTTACCTGCTCTTGTATAGCCAGTCATATAGGTCATTCTATGCAACTGTTACTCAAAAGGGTTCAAGAGCACTATCCCGTGTGGTTAAAAATAGGTAACAATGGAGCGATAAGAAGTGCCAGAATGGAACACATGAACACGAATCACATTATCTCAAAAACCTCCTCGTTCAAAGTCATCTATAAAGTGAAAAGAAACCTTCCAAATGCTGTGTCTTCCTATTCTCTGCATCGCTGAAGCTCTTGTCATCTAAATACAGAAAAGTGAACTGTGTAAGGAAAGGAAGATTGTTCAACCCATTCTGTTTTCGTGGTCCTAGCTTTCATTCCTTGAAATCTCTTTTCCCTCCTTTCTTGAAACTTGTTGTTTAGAAACTATTGACTTCTTAAGAAATTCGCTACTCTTCCTTGTTGCTATGCTCTGCCTGAACACAATTCAGTTCCCAGTTATGTCATCATGCTTACGAAATGCCTTGTTCAAACTTATTTTGATTAATATTCAGTACTCATCACAATTTTTTTGATTTTTGATTATAATGGCAGCTGACACTATTTGTGTTGCCATGCCTGAGAAACCATTTTTAACCACCAAATCCTTACACTAGAAAAGTATTAAAAAAATTTGCGAGTGTACAGGTTTGAAAATGAAATCGCCAAAAACAGACTCTGTGTTGAAATACTTGTTCTTCTTTCAGATTCCTTTTCAACACAAACCTAGTTTGAGGTATTTGATTACAATAGCTTGGGTGAAGCGTGGAAGATTTAAATTATTCTGTTTGCTCATTATTTTGAACGTTTTTTCAAAATACTTACTTAGTAGCTGCACAATTGGGAATATTTACTCCTCTCAGTCGTAGGCTGTTCGAGAAGTAAGAGCTTTTAAAATTCCCATTATGCGAATAAAGAACAAGACATATAAGCGAACAATACTGTTTTCAATTAGATCCTCTTCAGGCTTTACTCTAATACAAATAGCTTAATATATATGAAATTCAACCAATCATGTAGATTTTTAGGTTGGTGTGATGAATTTTTTCAAACGAAGATGGTGATAATAATACCGATCGTAATGATGATAAAAGTGGTAACGTTGACTGAAGCATTTGCACTTTAGATGATAATGATGTTAAGAACCAAGAAATAAGTTTGGAAAAATAAAAGCTGCCTAATACTGAGGGACGAGGTAAGTGAATAAACAAAGTCCGGATGAATACAGTAAGTAAATAAAAGTTGTGAAGAATAAGAAAGGGGTAGAGAAAGAACTCAGTGATGAAGTTATTCTTCGGGACATGTTTATTATATAGGAGGTTAGCCCTTCCCTCTTTTCTCTCAACGTAATCTCTGTGACAGACACATGTGCCATAATATGCACATTTAATAGGGTTTATTTTCAACTTTTATTGTCCTGGTGATGAAGAGATACAAAAAAGGGAACTCGGTTCGCTGCAGGATACGTCCTGGTCAGTGTAGTGTCCAGTCTTTAGAACTAATTGCGCACAAAGACGATGTGAGATGTGAACACATAAGATCCACAAAGTTAAAAATATTATCGATCTTCAGTTTTAACTCTGGTATCCTTAAGTTTCTTACACACAACTAGCAGAAATAGCTGATTGGTTTGAAGCGAATGACTTGGAGGCCGTTTCCATCACTTATCTCGGTCAGCATGACAATTATTGTAAGGTGGCGATTACAGAGCTATTGTGCTTACTTGAACAGAGTCTGCTTGACAATGCATTTCCATGATGACATACACGATCAAGCCTGGCATACTTAAGTCATACAGTAAGAACATTACCATCTGGTTTTCTTACTTGACTCAGTCCATGTTGTGTTATCAGTTAGCATTCATTCTTTTTAGTGACTTGGATAACCATATCGGCTTCGGAAATCTAGTTTTGACTGACCAGCTTTAAAGGACCTCCTTGAATCCTTTCATAATTCAGATTTTTGATAACTTCAGAGTTATTTTGACGATATTATATGAGTTTAATAAACGTTTTCATTCAGTTTGTTGTGTTTCCACTCAGTGAGGTGTAAGCTATGCGAAGAAAATGAGACTGAGTGCTGAAGTGATATAATTTGATGCATATTGTATGTGTGAAGGTTATTTACACAATCCGTTGGTTAGAACTCTGGATTTTAATGATATTCTGAGGAGCCAATTAACTGAGCAGGTGATCGGACTGTTGGTGAGATGGTAAACCAAGAAGATGAATTGCATATTCTAGAGTATTATGTGATCAGAGATACAATGTAGTATCCATTAGCGGACTTCAGTTTCAACAAGAATCCTTCTTATAACTTAGTGTTGAGGATTGTGTAATAGTGGGTAGCAGTATAATATAGGACGCGCGTTGCATTCTATCTGAGATTAGTCAGGCAGATTATACCTGCTTCCCAGTGAGCGCTGGTATCTTTGTATCTGGATCCAGATATGCAGACATGAAAATAAACTGTGCCTTGAAATCCCATTAACATACGCTTTTCTGATAATACTTCAATGCAAAATCGTTTTACTACTGCAAACTGTTAGTATTCA